CACTTCCCTAAATCGTATATATCCATTTTTGTAGAATAAAAAGTTATCCGCTAGAGCCTCTAGAGGCCTAGCCGTCCTATATAGTCTTAGACTGAACGTGGACGTAAATGAAATCAATCAATCAATCAATCAATCACGGGATCACCTCTGGGAGTATTCAGAAGCTTTACCGCTGAGCTAAACGCCCAAAAGACTAGGAGGTAGAACTGGAAGTTCTACCTTACTCTCACATATATAGCAGGACAGGACAGGACAGAAAGGGCTTAGTGTCACCCCGTGACACTATTACCTTCGTGATAAACTTTTAATTGAAAAATTGAAAAATAACGAATTATTAGTTTTTATATCAAAATTAAAACCAAATAGTTTCAAATCCTATAGTGAACCTTCGGGAAGCCCTGCCTCGAAATCAAGACCGAAATTATATAATCACCATAGGTCTGAGGATGAGATAATAAAATTGAAATGTTTTTCAATAAAAATCACAAAATCTATACTCAAATCTCACGGGGACAATTCGCTTTCCAGGGATATTCGCTTTCCCCAACTAGGAACTAGTCGGCCGCTTGAAGAGCCGACTATTGCTTGTCGGGGAAATAGTCCTTTGAGAGTCAGCAAAAGGGTATCAGTTTTGCTAGTATCTTCATCACATTTGGCTTCAAGGACATACACTATCGCCTGCAGGTAATTGCAAGCGTTACAATTTAATGGTATCGGTGTTGGTGTTGCTTGTTTGACAAATAGAGAATCCATCAGAGCTCGGAATGGTTCTTTGAGTTTGTTAGCTTCCTATATCACATTCATAAAATCCCAATTACTACATCCCATATCTCCAAGCGCCAAGATTTTCAACGACTTCTCGTATTGTGCCAACTGATAGAATGAGACCTTGAGATTTCTCGGTGGGTATTGTATTTCGAAACGAGCTCCAAAGCCTCGTACAAATAACTTAATACTTGATTCATTGTTATAATCATCTACTTCTTCATATTGATGAACTTCAACAATATAAGTATTATTAGCCATGCCAATCGGATCAGTTGATGGAAAGAGATGTTCAAGGCGGTAACGAGTGAGATAATCTTTCATTCAGTAGCGACCTAGATCCGCGGTGGGATAAAAAGTTATGAGGATATCATCAAACAGCCTGTTCAGCTTTATTTTAGCTTGCAAAATCTTCAAAGTGTTTGCACCGTCAATGAAACTTCTACCACAAATCACGCATTATGACTTTGAGCCCCACTTAAACACTAGGAAGCGCTTTCTGCTTACCGCGCGGCGCGCGCAAACCACTGCCTACAACGACCTCCTTCCTCTCCAGTTCCTATAAAACTTGTATTTTGCTCTTGTCGATTCGATTCCCTGTGTGAAGTGAGTGCGCGCTTGATGTGAGAAGTATATCTGATCCAAAGCAATAAAACAAAAACCTTGAGTTGAGTTGAGTTGATTTTCAGATGAGAGGCTTGTTCACTATTTATTTTACTTAATTTGAAGACTCGGTGATTTGATGCGCCATTGCGCGAGAGCGCGTAATCAAGCTATGGATGTCAGTGTCAACTTCATTCATCTCAAAGCCTCAAAATAAATAATAACAATTCACTTCCTCCATCAATTCCCTTGACCCACCAAAGCCGCGCCGCGCCTCAACTCACCTCCCACTTAACAAACAAAATGGCAAAAAATGGTAGTCATAGCGATCAAGTTCCCCCGGGGCGCCGTGGTCTAACTCTTGAGTCGTTACAGTTTCCCCAGTCTACCTGTATGAAGGCCCGCAAAGGTCCGTCCTACATTCTCGGACTCGCCAGTGCGTTATGCTTTCCCACCAACTCGGCCAGAAGACCGGTTGGACACATTGTGTTGAAGACTGATGCGCGGGAGGATATATGAAGTGGAAGGTGAGTGATGGGGTGGTGTAGTTGGAGAGTTGATGGGTCTGGTTTGGGATTGATTCATTTTTGATCTTGAGATTTTTTGGTGCGCGATGCGAGGAGTGTTGGATTCACTTGTTTTGGATCCACTTTTTAAGATGAAGGTTTATTGTTGTTTGTATGATGCCTAGTACTGGGCGTGAGTTATTGGAGTACGGAATTTGATTTCTCAGTGTGGTGCGGTCAACGTCGCCGCATTACTGGCCTCGCGACGTCTATACGGAAAATGTATGAAGAGCCAGCAGATTGTTCAACCAATCCAATGAGGACGAACGCTATCATCCCATCTAATTCACTAAGCTGAGTTAGTATCAATAATATTTTATCCTCAAATTTTGCACTACAATTGATTTTTGACTACCCAATACATTCATCTATTTCAGCCATTTGAGCTGCAAATGTTTCCACAGGAAACGATCTTTGATATTGATTTTAAGTAATAGCCACATTTCTGTGAGCATTGAGAGCCTTATGGCAGTTTCTTTCATAGCAAGAATTTTTTGCCGAAAGAAATATTTCAACGCAATACTTCGAACTCTAGTCAATCCCCGAGCCAAGCCCATTTGCTGTATCCAGAGAAAGATGCAAATGTCTCCCTATATTCTTCTTCCATTACCCATCATGAACACAAAAACTACACAATTAAACGAGCGGGTAAGAGGGTAAAGCATCAAGGAATGCTAATCTTGCTAAAACACCAGCTTTTCGAAGGAAAAAAGAAGGTTGAGTTGGCATTCATGAATAACTATAGACACCTCTCAGTTCTTTATCCATCGTAACCAGATTGATTGCACTCGCACCCCAAACAAGCAGTGCAACACGCACCCTAGTGATAATAAACATTGGTTTCCTTTCTAACATAGAACTCTGCTTCATCTGATGAGTAAATCGAAGCTTCAAAGCCCAAAGTTTGGCTGATATAATCTGAAAATTCCATCTACCAGCCAGATCTCGCATATCCTGATGTAGACCTAACTTGACATTCTTTATCAACTTAATGGAGAAATTTCGCTAGACCTCTTGGTAGGTAGCTAATCCCTCAGCTTCTCGAATCGCGCTCATAAATTTCGTCCGCGAACTGACACGAGCATTAGACATGCATGAAAAGCATTCTCTCGCATTTTCTCCTGGCGAAAAATAAAATGCAGGAAAGAATATACTTAATAAGTGAGACTGGAACTTTCTGCAGCATGCGCATTTTAGGTTTCTAAAGCATAGGCATAGGCATAAAAGAGTGAGAAGATTGACAATGATATTTGATATTCCGCTGGTAAAAGCTGTATAAACATGTTCCCTTGAATTTCTAGTTGTTACGACTTCTGTACTTTTGTACTGGAACATGGGTCATCAGAACTATCATTGATACAGAGGAGAGTTGGGGAAACATCGAGAATAACAAAGTTAAAAGCGTCTCTTCTCCATTCAAACCACCTCCCGGCATCACCTTGTTGCCCGAGTCTTTTATTGTGCCATCATATCAGAAAATTAACTGATTAGGTATATCAAACTTTGATCCAATTATTGCCTCCCCATTTCGACATTGACCATTAACACATTCTAAATCAACACTTCTTCAGAAACAACCCAGAGAGCAAATAATACCATTTGTATATATTCCACCCACTACACACCCAACTAATTCCATCCAACCCTAGAATTTTCCACCCAAAACCCCAAAAGCACAATCTCAGCCGCGCCTCACAACCGCAGAAATTCATCTCCAACCTTAATCTCCACATTCAATGCACACCCGCCACTCCGCAGCACATACGCGCAGGCGTCTCCCAAAAAATTCACTAGGTAATTCCATGCAACATGACAGGCATTCCATGCGGGATAGCGACCCGGTGCGGGATGAGCTAGCTTCACCTGACGAGCGGCACAGTCTCGACTTGTAAACTTGATCCAGGGCTTCAAACGTGATAGACATATCTCGGTGCTTCTCAGAAGTTGTCCCACTCTATTCCTCATCGTCAAAGACAGAGGAAGCACGGGATGCGAAGACTCAACACCTGTACACGATGCATCCTACGAACCTCCAGCTCTCTCTTGAGAGTCTGTAAAGCTAAGATTGAGTTGTAAATAGAATTAAAAGAATTGAAAGGAAAGAGGTATTAGAGATATAATAAAGAATTATATTACGATTTTACAATAACAATATTTATAAAGAATTGAATACCAGCTTTAAATACAGATACAAAAGTTACAGAAACCCCGATTAGATTTAATATCTATTATTGATTATTACTTTATAGAAATAAAATATATAATAGGTTTTTTCTCTTTAGAAAAATCTTTTCAATATAAAACTTGCCATCGCTCTACTCGTACTACAATCCCTTTTTTTATACCCTTTGGCTTTCAGCCACTCGAATACCACAACAACACAATACAGAGAATGCCATCACCTTCAAATTAATATCATACTTTGGGCATCGATATAATACAACATTTTTCCTTTTAATTTTCGAATTTTCGAATTTTCCAAATTGATTCATGTATAGGCTTAAGGCTCGGCTCTGCCCCACTATTGTCAACAGTTTCGACTATACACATCTAATAAGAGCTAAAGGATATTAAGCTTATAAAAATATACAAAGGGCTAATTTAAAAGAGATAAAGATAGAAAAAAGTGATGCTTTTTACTACTACCTCACTAGCAAGAGGACCCTTTACTATATTGACAACAACTCAGGAGGGAATAACTCTTGCCTTTTATAGAAAAAGAGAAATAGCAAATTGGATTTAGGATTTTAAAAAAAGAAAAATTGAATATTGGAATACTTTAATTGGATTAGGGGAAGGGAAGAATCAGAAAGGAAGTATCTCAAAGGATGAAAACAATTATCTCTATTTGCACTCCGAATAGAGATCGGGCTTAGTTCCCCAGCATTCGTTTTTACTTCCCCAAATTGAATATATCTACTGTAGATATCCAATAGTATTTGCTAGGCCCCTATAGCCTAGCCGTCCTAAATAGTCATGGACTGAAAAAGGACGTTAATAAAATCAATCAATCAACAGAGGAAGCACTTCCCACCCTTCCCAATCCAAATATTCAAATTTCCCACCATGGCGAAAAATTCAATCGACGGCGTAGTTCTCATTACCGGGGTAAGCAACTTTCTCATCTCCTCGTCTCATCACCTCATCATTACGAACATCAATCACAATCACCAAGCTAACCCACTCACCCCTTCCCACAGGCCGGCGGAGGAATCGACCAACAAGCCGTATACTCCTTTGCGGAAGCAGGAGCCCGCGCCATAGCTCTCGCGGACATCAATGAAGAAAATGCCCAAACAGCTTCCGAGACTGCCAGAAAATATGCGACCCATCCAGATTTCCGAACTTTGATCATCGGAGTCGATGTTGCAGATGCAGAGAGTGTGCAGAAGATGATTGATGTGACGGCGAAAGAGTTTGAACGCATTGATTATGCTGTGAATGGGGCTGGGGTACAAAGTTCTTCTTCTCTATTCTTTTTTGGTACTTTCTCGATTCATGCAGTGTGGAAACGAAGAAACCCATATGTATATATATATGAACTAACGACTCCCAAACCACAAAATCGAACATCCCTCCAACGAACCATTCGCAGAAGCATCAATCGCAGACTTCGATAAAGTGATGTGTGTCAATACCAAAGGCTAATGCTCTGCGTGCGCGCCGAACTCAACGCCATGCTCGCGCAAGAAACTCGCAAGATGCCGAGGCGCAGCGGCGAGCGAGATATTGGTCGCGGAGTCATTTTGAACGTGGGCTCTGCAAATTCGTATGCGGGGCTGCCGGCAAAGATGGCGTATACGGTGTCCAATCATGCGGTAATGGGACTCACGAAGGTGGCTGGTGAGTTGCCTTGTTGCATATGAATAATATCAGGTGCTGTTCATATTATGCTTCATCCTGAAACTGACTTTGCCTTCAGCACTCGACCATGCTGCCGATGGAATTCGCGTCAATGCCGTGTGTCCCACTTGGGTTCGTACTCCTATGGTTGAAGAGGAGTGCAGAAGAAACCCAACCGTGATGCAGATGGTGGGAGTCATAGTTCCGTTGAAAAGAATGGCTGAGCCGGAAGAGATCGCCGATGTGATTGTTTTCTTGTGTAGCCCTTCTGCAAGTTATGTAACAGCCACGGGAATCATCATTGATGCTGAAGTGACTTTGACCGTGCACATGCACTGAATAGATACATACTATGGACTGTGGGTTTTTAGGTAGTCTAGGAAAATCTGTTGCTCTTAAATAATTAACACTCTTTTGATTACTCATGAACAAACGAAATCCCCGAATTGCGGGTATGCCCAATCCTTATTGGAGAATCAAAAAGTCCACTAAACTTTGTGGTAAACTGAAAGTGCAACGATCTGACTGCTATCCCAACAAAACATGCCGATACCAAAAACGATAGCCATCACTAGATTTACTAATACCCTTGTAACAAGACCTGTTCCAAGGACATCAATCTCTTACACTCTCAACACAATTCTGAGACCGGGCCTGTACTAAAGACAGAAGAAAGAAGAAATAATGTGAGTGTGAGCCACAACGCGCCAACACAAAAACTCGATAAAAAGAAATCCCACACCACATTCCCCAACCATCATCAACAACACCTTCAACAATATGGCCCCTAGACTTTTCACAAATAACCATACAACATACTAGATGCTACCTACCTTTCTTTGCACATTCACTACTTGCGTTATTCCCAGCCCACAGATCAACCCTACAAAGCTCATACCCACCAGCCTTTCCACACCAGTAGTAGAAGACGCTGTGATATTGATCATTCCAAGATATGAGGCCATTTTCCCTGATCCGCAAATGGCACGACTTGTAATTCATGCGGTTATAGTGGAAGCCGAAACGGATAGATAGGAGTTTCATTGCGAGAGGCTGTAGCAATGAACAAGGACTGTTCGTTTCTGGCGAAAGAGCTTTGTGGGGTATAAGAATGTTTGATAAGGCCTATGTGAAATCTGGGTTAGAGACATGGCTTTCGTTCTTGTTGCTTGATGAGAGAATACTTCCTAACAGCTAGAAAGGCATCTTCGTGTATGCCATTTAACTTGTGTCTCATTTTTACTTCATCGTGTATTATACACTGGAACTTCCCGTGAAATAGAGGGGCATGTTGAAAGAGATATTGCGAGGAAGAAAACACTGCTCCGCTGTAGACCTTAATTCTGCGATAAACCCGAAGCTGCGCATGTAAATCAACCAAAATCGAATAGCAACATTGAGAACTTCACAGTCACACATCAATATCCAAAGTCAAACAAATTGAGAGAGCAGTAATATAGCATTGGTTATTTCTATCACTGCTATATCCCAACCCTCCTCACGATCTTCTAGTCCGTAGTCCAGTCCATCATGGGTATCATTTATCAATCCTAGATGTTACATGTAACCATCTATTCATCATCCTCCTCAGCCTCATCACCAACAACGTTGAAGAATCTCAATTCGTAAACGCCCTTGGAGGTGGAAACAACACGGAGCCAATCTCTCAATTGGTTCTTCTTGAGGAACTTCTTGGTCCTATTATCGCCACGAATTAGCATACATTCTCAGCCCAATAGAGATGTGAAATAAAATTTCATGGGAAAAAACTTACAAGTACTTGAGGTAGTGACCAGAGTTGACAGAGGTCTCGATCTTGATGCTCTCTCCTTCCTTAGCGATGGTGACCTTGTCGCCCAAGTTGCTCTTCAATCCATCGACCTTAAGGTTGTCTTGGAGGAACTTCTCGAATGCAGCGGTATCGAAGATCTTGTCGTTGGCAGGTTGCTTGCAGTCGATAACGAACTTGCGCTTGACGACTGGTCCCTTCTTGTTTCCGGCCTATTTGAGAGAAAATAAGTTAGCCTACTGTATCACGCCATAACTCTGCGGTAGAGCGGGCCAACAGCAAAGCGGTTCTTATTCATGGACGTACTTTGGCAGGCATTTTGATTGATTTCCGTGTGGTCGCAAAGAAATGGTTATCCTACGCCGAGTTGAATGTTGATGAAGATTGAAATAGGAGGTTCGAAAATCTGAAATTTTCTGTGTGGGCCGCCAAGAGTGTGAGTCGCTTATCGATTATGTAATTCGGAGCTGACTTCCGTGTATTTGTGCCTTAATTAAAAGGCATCAATTCGAGAGGGCTGAAAGTGGGGAACGAAAGCTTCAATAGTTTGTTTACTCAGGTTCGGCATTTGTTGTTCATCATGCATGAAGAACCAGCTAGGCCAGCTAGGTATTGAGTAAGTATTCATGAAGTCGATCTCTCCAAGAGCGGGAAGCTTCAAATTTCTACAACGGCTTGGCTACTGGGTTTTTCAGGTCGGTGAGGGCAATACAAAACATTCAATCCTCCTTAGTACAGCTCAATCGGTCAACGGGTACATGATTGTATTGAAAAGTTGACAACACAGCAATGATCACAACGTGCATATTCCCAAACGTTTCATGTTCTACGAGTAAAAGATAATTGTAATCGGATTGTAATCATTCATTATATTATCCATCCACCCAGTCCTCTGTACAATTCCCTCCCTGAAGACCCATATTGCACCGCAAGTCCGTAGACATGCTGCCAAAAAACCTAACGAAAAGAACCATTCCATAAAAAACCCATGTATGAAATGCGCAAGAAAAAGTATAAAATCAGAAAATCATAATCGTCCCAAATGACCCATGTCCATGCATGTTTATGTCTAACTCCCGAGCCATCATAATTCCAAGCCGAGAAATGTTGTTCAGCCGACTCTTCCGATGCCAAGAGGTTGATTATTCATTAATATGTCTGAGCATGAACCGCATTGGTCAGGCCTGATTTCGAGAAGATGTAAAAGAGGTAGGAAGATGATTGGAGGTATCGTATGATCGAAGTCGAGTGCGGTATATCGTTTATTTTTGAGTTTGAGGAAAGTCGTTGTCATGAGAAGCTTAATACTTCAGAATGATGTATAGAGCGTGGATGATACCGGGGATATATCCAAGGATGGTGAGAAGGACTATGGAGCATGTTAGTATTTTGATCATTTGCGAGTAGCAACATGTGGATAGTCTTACTGTTAATGAGCAAATCGGCACCGCAACCTCTCTCAAGGAAAACACCAAGAGGTGGTAAGATGACGGCGAGAATAATCTTGCAGATATCGCTATTGTGAAATGTTAGTATGCGATACTCGTTGGTTTGATTGACTCGACTGCCGTGCGACAAAGTCTAAAGTGATTGGATTGGGATGGAGAGTGATTCTTACCTTGCTGTGAAAGGCATGATGTTGGATTTAATTGGTAAAAGGTTGATTTAACGGGTGTTGTTGGTTGATGGATTGATGGGTGTCGTGGAAACGAAGAGTTCTTGTTCTTTGTCTTGATGTTCGATGTTTGATGTAGAGAAGATTGGAATGTATGTTTGCAAAAGTAAGTAGCTAACCAAAGGGAAAGTGGACCTTTATGTATGAGCACCGAGAAGAAGTTGGGCTTTGGACGTGTGGAACTTGAATGGTACGATTTCCCGATTTTGCTTGAGTCGGGAGTACAACGTCACTAATTTACCTTATTTCACCTCTTATTATTAACCGCAAGAAAAGAGTTGGCACTATCATGGCTGAAAATAGATTAGATCGTTTGGAATTGTGGTGAAGTGTGGCCCAACCAAGAAATTCTATTGACCAGACCAACCACGGTGACCAGTAAATGGTTAAACCTCATTACGTCATAATATCTTTTCCCATTTCTCCCTTCGCTTGCTTCCGCCATCATGTTTTTTGATGTATCTTCCAAGGGAAATTAAAACATCAGTCAGCCAATCTTACCTGTTGAAATAATTAAATCTGAAGCATGATGAATGCACATCGAGGAACCTGCATGATATTAAAATTCTGGTGTTCAACAAATAAATTCGCCTTGTTTGTATGTTCTCGTCGATTTTGCGACGATTCAACAATAAAAATGAACGAGTACAAAATGTGAAGTAGCATCATGGTAATTGCCGGGAGTGTCGGAAAGTGACTTTTCTCAGTGCCGCATGCATCCCGATTGGGTTCTTTTTCTGCTGCGGGGACCTTCAGGTGTGGCTCTGTGGCTGAGTTGTGGCGGTTCGGAGAATTGGAACTTCATGTGATTGTAAATTCAATATCTTATTCGTCTCTCGCTTTAATCTACACTTTGCTAAGCCGCATACACGGCAAAGGATATCCATGATGTACATGGAACATTCGGAATTCTTGGCTGTCAACTTCATCGTGTGATTGATCATTTCTTCCAATTGATTATCTCGACGTTCCGAATCCCGCATCTTTCCAAATTCAAAGCCACTATGAAATGACGAGGTTGGGTTGTGTACTGCACAGAAAGTATCCTAGTATTTCTTGGGCAGACGCGTATTGGTGCGTACTGGTACGTACTGGTGCGTATTGGTGCTGTATAAGGCTACACGAGTCAAAGCGACGTCTAGACTCTAGATCCTGCATTTAGAAAGCTTGGTCTATTTGATGTGCCATGTGGCTGAGTATTAGTACAAACGGTGTCACGGTATCAGCACGAAAGATCGCACATAATAGGTTTGTGAGAAGATACGTTGATTCACATTTCATTGTACCTAGCTTGACTGTACTTACACGTAGGTAGTCGAAGTTACCCTAAGACCATATCTTTACATAGGGTACTGTTCTAGAAGAATCTCGACCGTTTAGCTTATGAACGAATGCGTTGAGAAGCTCATGACTAACTTAATTGTACTGCACATTCAAACGAAGAAGGGGCTCTATTTCTTGATCTGAGTAAGTACAGTTTCGCATGAGACAGCTGTTATGTACCAATTTGGGGCCGAAAGAGTATTAAGCACACATCATTTCCGATGCTGGATTATGGATGAATATACGAGTATGGTCCGGAGATATCAATCTATCAAGTGAAGATGGGAATACACAATCAGCGTGCGTCTACACCTAATTAGCTGCTCACACTTGGGTAACACCAATAAACCCTCGTTAGACATTTAAGACTTTAGATTTAACAGATGCTCATCCGAACTCTGGCTGGACTGACTGATACTCTAAGAACGACGAATCTTCAACTGACAATCAATGTCTACCTACGATAGTAGGTCGCCAATTGCCTAGACTTAAACAGGCTTTGAATCTCAGAGAACAAATCCGAATCCGCAAAGCTTTGTCAGAAGTTCTAGTGTACAGATGAGTGGCAATTATAGATAATAAAATACAAATTCCGAGAGCTCCCAGTGACGATGACCTCGACCAGTCGAATTGATAGATAATTGACCTTTTCATGATGCCTCAGGTATCAACCCCACCATGCCCATGCTCAGCGCATCCATACACAAATTTTATGTTTATGCACGTCCAAAGAACATCCTCTTCACCCCATCTCATAACCACCACACGATATGCCACGAGATCCTCTCATCGGCCTCGTAGGCAAACCCTCTTCAGGGAAAAGTACAACACTTAACAGTCTTACAGATGCTACCTCCAAAGTTGGTACGTAAATATCCCCCATGTCATTTCATCCGACCCAAAATTACCCCTCCATTTACTTACATCTTCTCTCATACAGGCAATTTTCCGTAAGCACCCACTCTATTAACTATTTGCGCAAATACACACCGTCTCATACAAGAAACTGGAGCAATCGCACAAGATCAGAGAGAGAGATAAGATACTGAGCCACTTCCAGATTCACAACCATTGACCCTCAACGCGCAATTGGATATCTCCAAATCGACTGCGCCTGCGCTCGCTATAATCTTCAATCCCGTTGCAAACCCAACTACGGTTCCTGTATCGATGGTCGTCGCTCTGTTCCTATCGAACTCCTCGATGTAGCTGGTCTCGTCCCTGGCGCACACGAAGGAAAAGGTCTCGGAAATAAGTTTCTTGACGATTTACGTCACGCAGATGCACTCATTCATGTCGTAGACGTAAGTGGTACAACAGATGCAGAAGGAAAGGCAACAAGAGGCTATGATCCTAGTTATGATATTGTTTGGTTACGTTCAGAGATAGTAGCATGGATTCGAGGAAATTTGATGCAAAAATGGGGATCGATAAAACGGAGACACGTAGCTGTGAAAGCTACAGCTGTTGAGACATTACAGGGCCAATTTTCTGGATATGGAAGTACAAGTGTGGTTGTTGCGCGGACGCTGGATAAATTGGCGTTGAAGGAGCCTTTGGAGCATTGGTCTGATGAAACAATTGACTTGGTGGTGAATGCTTTTACGGATGAGAAGTTCCCAACGGTCATTGCGCTCAATAAGATTGATCATGCGGATGCGGATAAGAACATAAGCAAGATCGCAAAGATGCAGGATCCAAAGAGTATAGTGCTATGCAGTGCTGTTTCGGAGGTTTTCTTGAGGAGATTGGCTAAGCAAGGCTTTGTGAAATATACGGAAGGAAGTGAGTTTGTGGATACGAGGGAGGATTTAATTGCTGATGGCGATGAAACTGGAGGAGGTCTAAAAGAATTGGACGAAAAGCTCAAAAACAGAATTGAGAATTTAAAGGATATGGTTCTTTACAGATTTGGAAGTACGGGAGTAGTACAAGTACTTTCCCGAGCAGCAGAATTACTAGGGTTAGTACCAGTATTTCCTGTAAGGAACGTAGGAAGTTTAATGGCAGGAAGTGGTGGATCTGGAAGTGAGAAGGTATTCAGGGATTGTGTATTGGTGAAGAAAAATACTACAGTCGCAGAGTGTGCGAGAAAGGTTATGGGAGACGCTCCTTTGGCTTATGTTGAAGGTGCTGGCGGAGTAAGAGTTTCAGAAGATGCTATTGTTTCTGTTGGTCATAATGATGTGCGTATAATTCCCTTTCATGCTGGAAGAAACTTTACTAACAACTACCAGATTCTCTCCTTCAGAGTCGGTAGAGCATGAGAAGCTTACAATCTTCATTTCAAAATGTATTCATGATACTATGGGCCTGGCGTTTTAGGAAGAAGGATTTAGCATAGCACATGGCGTTCATGAGGTCCTATTCAGGATTAAATATATTCGAGATTTACTTGATTTATGTGTTATTGACATACATCAAATATGTTCTTTCGTTCAGGTACCGGTTTTGAATTTGTGCCAAATTATTGTTGTTATGAGATTATATCCCCGCAGATTTCCCTTAGCAGTAAATATCACAACAATAAGCGAATGGGTTATTACCGATTGATCTTTTCTACCTTTCCACGATATTTCCTAGCACAATCAAGAAAGAGCACACATTAGCTTAAACTCTCACTCTAACTGAGTCTAAGAATACATGCTAGAGAACAGTTGCTTAAAAATTCTGATATATTCTTCTGCTTTAGTATTCTCCAATCCCAAGGCATTAATAATACATGGCACAAACACGAATTGACCAATCATTCACCCTCAATCGTCATACAGTAGTTCATCCGGTAAAAGAGAGGCGAACATTTCCACAACACATTCCCCGCATTTTAGATCTCGATATAGAGTTGTGACGACATCGATTGAATTGATCGATCCATCAAATCCCATCCCATCCCATCCCATCCAATCCAATACAATTACCGTCTGCCAAGTAACCACTAATGCACAATTGAACGATTAGCTAAGGAAGGAGAAAGTTTCATAGTGAACTATTGATCTAAGCTCTGGAAGCTATGTAATAGCCTTTTTCTTCTCGCTAGCTATATGGTTCTCGCACAATCGCATTCTGTATCTTTGATTTTGATTTCTCTTCGTGTATTCCTTTCAGATTTTCTTTCGACATTCTCGAGACAAAGAAATATACATACCTGGTTCATACTTGCAATACTTATTACACAAATCAATCATCAATCAATCCATAATCCTAATCCCCAACTCTCTCAACCATAATCACCATCACCCACTCCACCATGTCCCCCGCGCTCTCCACCTCCCCCGCCTCGCGCATCCGTCACCTAACCCCCAACCCCCGTCTCCATCTCCAATTCTTTCGCAACACCCCCACCACCCCCCACACCCAAGCACCCTCCATCCAACGAGCCGCCTCTCCTCTCCAACGCCGCCGCTCCTACTCCACCAGTACCGCCTACCGCACACCCTGGACAGGCCGTCCCGCGTCCGAAAACGCAGGCACGGATGCCCAGACGGAGAAACATAATGTGCAGCATGATCAGTCGCAGAAGAGCAAGGAGGAGAAAGTGAAGGGGGAGAGTGGCAGTGCGGGGTTGGAGGAGAAGCCCAGTGGGCAGAGTAAGGATGCGAAGAAGAAGGTGCAGGTGGAGTTTCCAGAGGGAGCGAAGATGGGTCCGGTTATTGGGATGGAGGATGAGAGGGGTGGAGTGAGTTTTTTCTTCCTTTCTTCGTTTACCCCTTTTCTGTTTGTTGATTTGTTGGTTTGTGTGGGGGAAATTGAGGAAGTGGAAAGAACGCTGGCTAATAAAAATGTGCAAATAGAAAGGTTCTTAAATCCCAGGAACCCTGGATACAGTGCTCGTAGCTAGTATACAACGTTTGATCGGCAGAAACTGTATACTACGAGATTAAGGATTCATGGATAGATATGTCGTATCTGCATTTGCTTGCTTGCTTGCTTGCATTCTCTCCATCTGAACATCTGAATCACTAACACTATCGCTATCCATGTACTCAACCCAAATATACACAAAATACACACATATGATCTCTTGAGTATTTATCAAATTGCCAATTTATGTATACGCAGTCATCGTAAGGATCCATATTCCCCATTGCGGTTTCTCTTCAATTATTAAGAGCTTGATCATCGCATCATGATTATGTAGGATAGTCTGAATAAGCGTGATCTTGCATTACTACACCGTGTATATTATTGCAAAGCCAGTATCAAAAAATCAAAGCAAGACAACTCTATCTATCTATCTACTAATCCAGCACATCCATATCAAAATCTCCTCACATCACCACTATCAAAGACAAATCCTCGTTCCTCTCCACTCCTAGCTCGCAAAGTCATACAGTCATCCACTCTTAAAAATCCTACCCTTTTCCCCGCCATACCCCCAACGGCATCTGTAATACCACTAACTATCATATTTATAGATCGCCAACAGCTTCTCAGGTATCTAGGATCTCACCAACACAGGAAGGAAAGGGGATACAGGAGATAATTCCTCAGCGTACATTGTATTTGGTATTGCTCTATCTAGATTCTAGATTTGACATGGATTAAGGAATGGATGGACGGACGACCAACTCTTCAATTTCGCTGATAAGGGGTGGGTTACCTTAGCGAAATTTAGATGTAGTATGTGTCTTGTGAGAAGAGACAGGTGTTCATTTTGTATAGTCAACTTACTCGATATCCAATGATTGTTTCTGAAGTAGGCGGGGACAGGGTTTAGGTCGGAGGTGTTAAGTGTTAAGTGTCATGGTGTATTTTATTGTATTGAGTTGTATGGTTACTTGAATAGTGCATTGGGAAATATGAATATGTATAGTACATGAATGAATATTGATATGGATGAAAGAATTCGGGTTTGGATGATGAAATGTGAAGTGTAAAGGATGCCACCGTGCTGCGTCTACCATTCATTACCATGTTTCCCTTTTTTTTCTGCATAGACGAGACAGATGAGATTCATACCTAGGTATGTATGTAGGTGTGCGGTTGTTGAGCAAGAAAGGTTTGTGCACACCAACTAAGAAATTCAATTCGTTTCCAAGATTTCCCGAAAGTCCTGGACAACTCTCGAGAATGCTCAATTGGTAGCTAGATTCCGCCCTCCAAGTCCAAGTCGATACCGTTGCATCTTCCGTATTCGACGGGGAGAAATCACAAAGTCCTGTTCTCTTTAGTACTACTAATATATCAATAAACTGAAGTTGGCATACGCATTACCCTTCTTCGATTCAAGGGTGTTAATCGGATGGCAGCATCCACAATCATTGTACTTCTCCCCATACAGGGGTCCTCCTCTGAGATGTCGAGACGTAAATCTGAAGTCAAGATGCTTTCTCCACTCGCTCGTTTGTGGATTTCGACCGGGATACAGCGATAGGGAATCAGCCTCCGACTAATCTCTCTTTTCCCAGATGCCGAAATGCGAAAGTGGAGGTATGTAGATTCATAAGTCGTGATGATTTTTGCGTTAGTGCAACCAAGTGCTGCAGTGCCGGCACATCCATACGAAAGTCGATAGAATAGGAGAAACAAGAAAGTGCGTAATAGACCAAGCGAAGTTGGCCTCCATGTTAAACTCCAATGTCCAAACCGACGCCAACAAAGGGAATTGCGATAATCAAGAATAGCGCTACAGAATTCCTCGACCGGATTTCCGTAAGCGTACCGATTCAACCCACACAAACCCTAACATCTAATATCATACTCACACAGAGCCCACCTTTCAGGGTAATCTACACCGTCTCCTCTCCCTCGGCGCTTGACATATAAATCGAAGATGTCGTATCATAAGCCATTGCAAAAGGAGGACATCCCGCAGCGACCAAAGCCGCTATCCAAGCCATGATCATTTGATCATTATCGTATCTCTGATCCGGGTTTAGAGAGAGATCCGACGGTGCTGAAGACATTATTTCTCTCTCTAGCAATAAACAAAATATACAAATTATATCTCAGCCAGTAAATTTACGAAGAAGAATATGGAAGATCGTCCAGTCGCTGACATGCAACACAGCCACCGACTACCACTTGCAAACAAAAGATCATAGAAACAAGTAATCAGTCGCCGACGACTAAAAATCAGTATAAACCAATAAAATTAATAACCTTCTCGCCGATCAATACCATGCATAAAACATCCCAATCCATCGGAGCTCGTCTCTTTATATATAGCAAGAAAAAAAGGGGGGCACAGCACAATCCATTCTCACGGAACACATGAAGCCTCAAGATGTGGGGATCCAAAAACAGGTGGGACAAAAAAATTCGCGACATTTCGAGAAATTTCTACCGCAGAGCGACGACGACATTGGTGCATCGCTTTTGCATGCGAGAGCAAGCCACTGTGTAACAATTCTAGGAGAGTGGAGATTGTGCATTCTTGATTGAACATATGATGTTGGAATTATCCGGAAGGCCGATTTGGGTTGTATAGTATTCGACTAGAGAGGATTATGATGAAGGAGGACTTTGTGTGTTACAACTTACGGCACGTGCTAACCGATATCCCTACATCGTGCACATCCCTGTATCGTGCACGCTTTTTTAGCTTTCAAAAACATTAATATCACCATCTAAATATCACAACAATATGTCTTCAGAAAGCCATATAGAGCTTGCGCTAAATCATATTAAAGACCAAGAACATCCTAAATACATCTAGATAGCTCATTTATACAGAATCGATTATACTACACTCTCAAAACAACATAGAGGCAAAACCACCTCCTATAAGATAAATTATATCGATATACATCAATATCTTTTATTAGAACAGAAAAAGGCTTTATTAAATCAGATTAACAAGTTAATACAAAGATCTATATTTTCTATAAGTATTATAGTTAGGAATTTAGCAGAAGAGATAAGAGAGTATTCTATAGAGAAAAACTGGATAACCAATTTTGTTAAGTAATATAAAAGTTATATTCAAAGTCGATATCTCTATTACATTAATAATTTATATATCAAAACCGATAATATAGATATATTTGAATACTTTTATAATCTTATTAATACTATTTTATATTGTTATTGATTTATATTATTTAAAAAAGCTCTTGCTAACCTCTTTCTTTTATCTATTTAATTAATAAAAATAATCATAAAATACAATATTATATCAAAAAAACATATATAATTAGGATAAAAAGAGGTTCCTGATTAATTTTGGGAAAGCTATAAAAAGGATAATGAATATTAGTATATATAAAAGAGATAGAATTATGAAAGCTAAATAAAACAAATCAAAAGAGTTCATTATCCTTTTAGTATATATAGCTACCGATGATATAACTCTATTACCTATTTTAATCTATAAAAGGGAATCAGGCAATCTATAAGATATATAGATTGATGAGGTGGGTATAAAAGATTAAGCTTATTTCAAAACCTCAAGTAATAGGTAGTTATTTAATGTTTTTGGGCTTAATTAGCTTACAAAAATCTTTTAATACTATACACATCTAAAAACAGACAAAGAATACCGGCTATTGATTGTAGATAATTATTTTAGTTATATCAATATGAAATTTATATCAAAATATAACGAATTGAAGATTATATTATTGATTCTGTCTTTCTATTTTATATATCGATTATAACTACTCGATATAAGCTATTTCCTCCCCCTTTCGATGAATTATAGCATAGAACTCAATAATTGAATGTATAAAAGCAGAGGTTTAATTAATATATCGAAATACAACTTTTGGGCCATCTTTAAAATAGCTTGGGCTCAATCTGCAACTTCCCATAATATACTATAATTGTCACGGCGCCAACTACATGATCTGTAGTTGCCTTTGTGCCTCAGGTATAGCATACTAGCGCGCCCTACTTCCTATAAGTAGGGCTTCACTCTTCCATAGTTCTTCTACTCTTATGGTATAATATAAGTCTTTACCCATACCTTAACAGTTTATACCATCTTTAAATAAGCTATTATAACTTTATTTCTTATTTTATTTTCAAAGCCCTATCAATGTTTTGTTCCGATTATACTAATCACATTTACTATTGATTTATTGTACACCCTGCCGTCGATATTTTGAGCCTCAAAAAGTGTTGAAGATGGGTAAACAAGCATCTGCACTAGAAGCACTTGCATCTGGCTTATCTTTGCAGTTCCTTTTCTTGAACTACATTCTCAACTCCACCAAAGTCGATATCTCTCCCTTTATAGATCTATTTAATAATTCAAATGCTATATACTTCGCTATTGTTTAAGTTGTATTTGAATCGATCAAATCGATCACAGGCTCATTACAAGCCCAAGCTGTTACTACTCAGATCCAAGCCATCAATGTTCAATCAAAGATTGTTGAATTGAAAGATACAATTGAGATATTGAAGATTGCTGTTCACAATAATTCACAAGCTTTATCTTATTGTAAATATTTCGCTGCTCCCGAAAAGTTCAATAATAATAAACAAGATATCGCAAAGTGTCAAGATTAATATACGATTTTTCATAATACAGTTAATTGCTGCTTGATTACGGATTACAAAAATAAATTAAAGTTTCAGAAAATCATATTTCTTGTTAGTCTACTTTCTGACCCTACTTATACAAATAATCAGATATACTTTGATATAATTATAGATAATGTGTATAATTCCGATCTTTAGCCCTCTGGATAACATATTGTAATAGGTATCTAATATAAATTAAATAAGTAATACTAGATTCTAGATTTCTTATATAAAGCTTTTATGGATTATGATAAATATAAAATGAAGAAGACCCTATTTGGTAACTTTATTACTAAATTCAAACAGCTTGCTATCAAATGTAAGAAGATTGTTGAATAACAAGTTGCTAATCTTAAACTCAAAGTCTTATAAGAACTAATCGATACTTTAGTTAATTGCCCTAATAAACCTTCTGCTACCGATATCGATGTGTGAGTAATCTAGTAATAAGGTATTTATAATGATTTAGAAGAGAAGATTCATCTTAACAATCAACACAAAAACCAAGATATTAACTTTAGCAATCAGAAAAAATCTAATAAAAAGAAATTTGCTATTATTGCTATAATATCTATGTCTAATCCCTTTGG